CCGGGGGGGCTCAGGGGGCTCACAGGGGTGTGTGGTGCAAAGAGGACCCTGGAGCTGGTTTTGGGGGGTGTCCCTTTCCCCCTCTGAGCTGTCCAGGGGGGGCAACAGCAATTGGGGCTGGGGGTCAGCTCCCAGTGCTGGGGGGTCCTGTGGTGCCAGGGGATGCTCCACCGAGGCCCCCCGTGCTCACCTTGGGAAGAGATCTGGGAGCCTCCAGCCTGGCTTGAGGGGATAACGAAGGAAACCGGGATTTATGGGCTTCTCTCAGAGTGAGGATGGGCTTGGGGGGGCTCCTGGGGTTGGGTCTCAGAGGTGTTTTGGGCTTGGCACTGAGAAGCGGGTCAGCCCAAGGTGGGAAGTGCCACCGTCTTTTTGTGGAGCCTGTGGAGTTTGTCACCTCTTCCCATCATCCCGTGGCCCATCCTGGGGGGGCTTTGGTGGCCCCCCTGCCCTGGAGATCCGTAACTTCCAGCCCCTCTGAACCTGCGGTTTGGGGTTTTAAGGAAACCTTCCCCAGCCCCGAGCCTCTGGGTTGGAACAACTGTAAATATTTGTTTGGAGGGAGGGAGAACTCTTTGTGTTGGTCGTTTGTTCCGTGCTGATTCCGTTCCCTTTACCTGGCGGGGTCCCGCCACTCCCGGGGGACGAGCGAGGGGTCTCGGCTCTGGGTTTGGGACGAGCTGGGCCCTTTTCTCCAGAGGAGGGGCCCAAAGGATCTCTGAGCATCCATCAGGGCCCAGAGGACGGGCTGGTGGCCGTGGCCTCCAAGGCTCCCCAGCCCAGTCCAGCCCCGTGGCTGTCGGGGCGATCGCTGTTGTGTAACTCGGGTGCCTGTTCCGACAGGCTCCACGCTGGAATATTTTCCTCCTCCCCAACCTCTCACTCTTCGGGTTCTGCATTCCCAGCCGACCGTCAGAGGGTAATAACTGTGTGTGTGTGCAGATCTGGACTTGTCAGAGCCACGGAAAATGGCTTTAAACCTCACCTGGGCAGCAGGTGAGGGTTTGCCTGTGAGTCCTGGGAATTTGGGAGTGGGATTGTGTTTTAGGGGGGAGAAGGGCTGTGCTTTGGTGTAACCTCAGGTAAAACCCAGCCCGAGGAAGGGGGTTCAGTTCCTCTGTGATGAATGGCAGGGCAGGATCTGATGGGACTCGCTGCATAGCTGCTCTCAGGCTCTCACTTAGGTGCAAGATGGTGTTTATTAAAAAAAATAATCATAATTAGTAAACAGGAAAGGGCCACTTGACTGCACGAATCCCCTGGAAACTCGGCGACTCCCGGTGCCTTTGATTTTGGCCTCTGTGAGTGACTATTGTTTCCGCTCAGTGTGCACTGAATGGTTTTATTCAGTCCAAGGTGTGAGCTCAGCCTGGATTTGAGGGAGCTGTGCTGGTGGAGCGAGGGGCAGGATGGCAGGGAACAGGGAATCCCCCTGGGAATTGTTTGCTGCTGGAGCAGCCATGCTGCACGCTCGGCGTGCCGGGGCTGCCCTCACTATTGTGCTTTGTGCCACAGATTTAACAGCTGCTTGTTTCAGGGAAGGCTGGAAAAAACATCCGAATTTCTGCAGTGCTGGGGAGCCTGAGCCTCTGTGTGCCAGCAAACAGGGCAGAAAACACCCCTCCAGCCCCTTCCTTTAAAAAAACAAAAAGGAAAAGAATCAAGAAAGGTGCCTCTGCAGTGATGGTTCTGGGGTGTTGCGGGTCAGCTTTGCTCGAAATAAAGCAGAAAACCCACCGTGGGGAACAACCTGGGGCAGCAGATTTTATCATTAACACCTGCTGCAAATATTTACCCGGTTGAATCAGGCAAACCCCGCGCCCCGTTCCTAACTTACATCCTACCACTTTCCAAGAAAGCCTTTCTCTAACTGGAAATTAGAAACAGTGTCCAACAAGCATTCTTGAACTCCTCCAGCTCCTTGGCCAGACAGCTTGGGTTGGGTTTTTTTTTCTTTTTTTCTTTTTTTTTTCCCCTCTCCCTGGCGCTGCCAGGAGTGGATGCTCCGGAAATGGCTGTTGCGAAAGGAGCGAAGGCAAACGTCAGTTCTCTCAGCAAGCAAAGTTCACTGGGCGGGGGTGACCAGCGGGAATGTGTCTGCCCTGAGCAGAGCGGGCAGGAACTGCTCCTCCACCAGGGTTTTGCAGGGATGAAATGCCAGGTGGGAGCTCTCTTGTCCCCC